CAGAAATCAGCCCCAGCTCTTCACTGACTAAGAGCTGGAGAGACAAAGACAGCATGACAGTGGACTGAGTAGGACCTCTGGCCTCAGCCTGAAGGGCACCTTATCGTCGGGGAAGCAAAGGTTTTAATACAGGGGAGCTAGTTTGCAATTCGCAACTCCTCTCAAGCCCAGGTGTACTACATAATTTTTTCCTCCAGATGTTTCCTTGCTAATGTGAGAATTCTAGCCAGAAATGCCAGGAAAGGGGAGGCGGCCGCCTCCTGCCCTGTGGCCAAGAAGCATTTGGAACTTGTCTTCTCTCACACCTGTGCTTCCTCTGACAAGGACTCAAGCTTGAAGAATTAAGTTTTTGTGAAAATTGAATAAGAATCTTTCTAAGAAAGAGAAATGGAGTAAAGAAAAAATAGAGTGGATGTAGAACAACAAAAGGAGACACAGAAAGAAGGGACAGAGCCATGCTTGTGCGCCTGGTTTGTTCCATGTGGACCTTTCTCTCAACATCCCTCTTGCACTCCTGTTTGGTTTGTGATCAACAACCCACATATGCACAACTTCATCAAAATGGAAAAATATCTACGTGATCATCTCCACCTGCATGAGCGATCTCAATGCATAACCAGGGCTATGTTATAAAATGGGTCTTGCCTTTGCATTGTTTTAGATTTTATAGAACTTCTTTACAATGTCTATTGACACAATAGAGATTTCTCATTTATTCAAACAGGGTCCCTTTTAGAGTTCTCTACATTGGAGTTAGAAAATTTGAAGCCCCCAAACAAATCCTATTGTTTACCATAATGGCCCCAGCATACAGCTTGTGCTTAAATGAAGCCCAGTTGAATAAATGAATGAATGAAAGAAATGCTCAGATTAAAATGAAGTTGTCCAGGACGCCTACAGATACTTGCAGAAATCTGATTCCAGGAAATTGTTACACTCACCTAGTTTTTACCAATCCACCAAACATGCTGAAGGAAATAAGCTAACTTTATGCTAGAAAAGGCTAGCAGAAAGCCCTACCCTGAAAGAGCTTAAACATTGAGACAGTTACAAATACAAAAAAAAAAAAACAAAAACAAACTTTGGCAGAGTCAGGCCATCTCCATGTGGAGCTTGCTTTCCCTCCCAGAAGCAGCATTTAAAGCACTCAGGGTTCCAATCACAGGCCGTTTAAAAAAGCCTGACCACAGACTCAAGGCGCCCCCTTGGCCTCTGCAGTGTCACTGCTGACACCCAGAAAAGCATTCCCCCAGAGGGCATCGGAGGAGAAATGCCATTGATGTGGGCGCTATTGTTATCTTCTGGTGAGGGCTGTATTGTTGGCAGGGCCCAGGAGGGGTGTAGGCAGTGAGCAATCGCAGAGAGGAGAACAGTTTCTACAGAAGCAAGGAGATGAAAAGGTGCTGTAAACCAGTGGCTCTCCTGCCTGCCTCTGTGTGTGTGTGTGTGTGTGTGTGTGTGTGTGTGTGTGTGTGTGTAGGTGTGTGTGTGGAGGCAAGGAGACAAGCCAGCCCCTTCTGGGAGACACACTTTGAAATTCCGTTCCCAGCTCTTAGGGCTCCACGGTCACCTACTCAGAGGGCATTGTCCACTACTTTGCTCTTTAAAAAGAATGAATCCTGAACTAGAGGACGATTTTAAAGTCGGTGGTATAAAAAAAAAATCAAAGAATGAGACAATATAGATCTTTTAGAAATTCCCTGTAGGTAGTTTGTTTTGATAGTATTCACTGAGGAATATGCACTTTTTTTTTTTTAGTTAGATGAATGTAGTTAAATTCACTCTGTGAAACGTAACAGCTGATTTAAAAAAAAATAATAGATTAGTAATGGAGTAAATACAACTTAATTTTTACTTAGAATAACTCATCTATTTACCAATTTTAAAAAGGACATCCTTTTAATTCTTTGGCATTTTAAAGGAATGCATTTTCCTATGACAAGAGAGTATTATCAAACTTCACCGATAATTAAAAAAAAAAAAATACCACTTTTGCCAAGGTGACATTCAAAGTCGTTCTCCCAGCCCCCAAAGGAAACTGGTGAACAACCCATTGGCACAGGAGCCCACGCTCCCTCACCCCAGGTCTCCCCACAGCTCACAAAGGCCCTTCATGACCTGCACGGTTAGACACATAGGAAATGTGCCCTCCTGTACCTGGGGTGTTTTATCCACATGTTTTCTCTTCCAGCATTTGATCATCGGCTGGTGAACTGTTTGGCCCACAGAGATCTCCAGACCACCAGCTCATGTATTTAAAAGGCATCTGTTTATTTTGAAAATGCAAATACATCCTACCTCAAAGACTAACAGGCAAGAAGTGACCCACTGAGCTCGGGACCCTCCCTCCATCAAACCAAGATCACTCCACTTAACCTAAGCCTGGGAATCCGAGGGAAGGGCCCACAATTAAACCGAGCAGGCTCATCTCTCAAGAATCAGCCAGGCAGATCGTTTTACCCCCAATTTAAAGCCCCTGAAGAAGCCACTTACAAAAGGACCTTGAGCCTTTGAAACAGAGGTTCCTCCTCTGAGGGCTGCCTGGAGGAGGGCCCCATGGTGGGGACACCGGCTCCTACCAGTGGCTGCCCAGTCCTCACAGGGAGAAAGCCCGGGAAGGTTAATACCGACTTTGATCTCTGTCAAGGCATACCAGAAAGAATTAATTTACATTTCAGATGAAAAAGGTTGACAGCATGAAAAGGCAGCTTGTTGCTGGTATGTGAATGTGTAGTAATAGATCGGGAATTCTGAGAGGAAGTTCTGAGGAAGCTGAAGGGATCAGCCACGCGGCTGCTTTATTGGGAAGGAGATGAAAGGAAAACAAATTTCAATATGCGCTGCTCTGCAGCAACATGTAGGCCAAATGCTTCCTAAATTTCAAGGGCTGCTCTTTTAAAAAAAATATAACATATCTTAGTGACAACATTTTTTAAAAAATGACTATATGATCCAGAACTAGAAATACCAACAAATGCATTTCACAGAATTTAAATTCCAAATAAAATGATTTATTGAAAAAATAATCAATTAGAGAGTAATCTTAGAAAATAATGATATAGAGGTGGCTATGCTGGAAATGTCCTAGTGGCAACAGGAGGGGCTTGTAATGAGAAGATCATGCTTTGGGAAATCCGGAGCCCAAACAAAGTCCAAATGTGTTGCTTTGCTTTTCAGGTAAATATAACAATGCCTTCGAATCTAAGCTTATTGAGGAAAACATTCTTAAGTCAAATATTCTGCCTATGAAATCGCAAATGCTGCCATCCTTTTTCTGGAATGCAAAACCAGCATACCGGTCCTGTTGTGGAATTGGCTGAAGGGCAGAGACATTGTTTGCTTTCCCTTTGGCTGCCACCAGGGAAGTGGTGGCATTGGTGTCACCTTCATGCCTGCCTAAGCCCCTGCAGAGTTGGTTAATGCGTGTCCCCACATCACTGGATAGTTGGGATCACTGGCTCTGAGGCTAAGGAAGAGGGATGTTTGCAAAGCTTTGGGGAATTAAAAAAAAAAAAAAAAGAGGAGGCACTTTAAAGAAACGAGTCCTGTCCAGTTCCATAAGGCACACAGCAGGCCAGTGCTACATGGAGCGGATGTGATGGTCACTGTCCTGAGACCATGATGATGCAGCAGAGCTGTCTCTGCTTTGATGCAGCATTCATTTGGCATTACTCAGTGCAAAGCAGCGAGCCTCTCAAGATGATATTCAGAGAAGGAAAACTGGATTTATGATCTTTACATACCGGACTCTGTGTTAACCAATGTACAAGCTCCAAGTTTATATTTTTAAATGTATTGAGATTTGGGCCAAAGCATAAGATCTGAAATCAGCCTGGTATCCTCTTTTGATGGGAGACTGTGTGTGTGTGTGTGTGTGTGTGTGTGTGTGTGTTGTGTGATGTGTGTTGGGGAAGCAGACAAAAGCTGCAAGGTGAATTGTTCTCTTCCTGAGACTCTGAGGTTGTAGAGCTTAGAACTGTACTGGATGATGTTAAAAAGTTACACATTTGCATTTAAATGGCTTCCAAAATATTTTCATTCTGAATGAAGATTTCAGGCCTCCACTGGGGTCTAAGACAGTTTGGAGAAGTATCCTGGGAGCTGAGTTTTGTGTAGGGACCTGTTTGAAAGGTTGCAGCTGTCTTATTCAAGAATTTGCTTCCAGCTTGGCATTTTTCTGAAACCCTATCTTGCTCCCCACTGCTGAGCTCACTGGCCTTGACTCTCTCACTCCATCTCCAATTTCTTGTGCTCCTGAAGCTCCTGGCACACATAGGAGCTTGTTTCTTCCAGATCCTCAATTAGGAATATACAGCTTCAAATGAGGAAGGGAGATTGGCCCAGTAGCCACAGTGGACATGCCATTTGCAGAAGAGCAGAGTGACCTGAGAGCCAGGGAGGGGACAGATGAGCCAGTAACAAAAGCACATGGTTCTCAGGCTGCCAAGGGTCAGCTGAGCCATGAGAGTCACCATGTGCTCACCTCGTGGGGCCCAGAGGACCACACGAGCTATATACAGGCCTGGATTGGGGAAACTCTGATGGCTGGGAAAGTTGGCTGAGTGAAATTCCTTCTCTTCAATGCTGAGAGACAGACAGGACTTGCAAATAATCAGAGACCTTCTAAACCAGTGTTGTGGTTGCACAGTTGAGGGACTTGTGACTCCAAGAGAGAAAGAGATTTGTCCAGCTGGCAGTATGCCTGGGTTCAAATGCCATCTACAAGCTGTGAGATGGTGGACAAGTAACTTCACCTCTCTGTGCCTCAGTTTCTTCCTCTAGAAAATCAGGACCATCAGAGCCTCCTTAGTCAAGCCTGGCACCTGCAAATGCTCACTGTGACCCAGGAGGGTGGGGGTGTCGGAACAAACATGAGGACCCCCCCACACTGGAACCATTGGTTTACTCCAGGGCTCCTATTATTAGCTTTCCAGCCTTTCTACACATATTTGCATGTGAATATTTTCAAGTGGACACTGTTAAAATGATGTTTGAATTACCTGCTTGAATATGAGCAGCAGACTCACTCCTTCTGTTGCTTATTTTCTTAAATTTGCTCCGAGCTTCATATCCTCTCCAGGCTAAAAATATAAAACCATGTGCTAGGAATGACATTAATTTAAGAACGTGCCAGAGAATTGATATAAGCTGTTTCCCCCTCCAATCTATTATGCCTCTCCTCCTCCCTCTTGCTTTCTCACTGAGCAAAATGAGTAGAGCTACGTGAGCTCTGGTGGGGAAGTGGGGCCTCTCTGTGCTGGCAGCTTGGCTTCCAAGATGCTTCTGAGGAGGCATTTATTTTTGGTTTGTTTAAGCAGTGAGTTTCCGCAGCACGCTGAATTCTATTTAGGAATCACTTGGGTCAGCTACACCAGGTGCGATGGTTCCCTGTCATTCCAATCCATGGGGAAAACCTGTCTTCAGGACTTGGGGTCATGGAGAGGATGGGGGGAAACTGGGGCTGGAGGGGTGGTGGAAGAACTGAAATAGACTGGTCCTTTTAATATTTTGTATTTAGGAGAAAGATATAAACATGAAAGTCAGAGAGAGAGAGAGAAAGAGAGAAAGAGAGAGAGAGAGAGAGAGAGAGAGAGAGAGAGAGAGAAAAGAGGGGAATAAGGGAAATAAGAAGGAGCACTCTGCAAGAGGGTGCTCAGGGAGGGGAAGTGGCCATGGAAGGGGAAAGGCAAGGAAGACAGCTGAAGAGGACAGGACAGAGGAAGGGGCTGGGTGAGTCCTTCCGATGCAGACTGAAGCAGGAAGCCACCCAGCAATAGCAGCAGCAGTAGCTCTTCTTTGCTACCCGACCTCCGCCTGAGCATCACAACTCTTCCGTATATGGTGGTCCTGGGTTCTGAGAGCGTGAAGGAGGTCATCCACCATGGTCAAGATCTGGTGCTTTCAAAAGCAGACATGAAGACCAATGGAACAGAATAAAAGACCCAGAGACAAACCCGCTTACAAACAGTGATCTCCTACTAGACAAAGGCGCCAAAAACATATAATGGAGAAAAGATGGCTTCTTCAACCAATGGTGCTGGGAAAACTGGAAATCCATAGGTAGTAGAATGAAGACGAACCCCTATCTCTCACCCTGCCCAAAAACTCAACTCAAAGTGGATCAAGGACCTAGGCATTAGACCAGAGACCCTGCTCCTACTGGAAGAAAAAGTAGGCCCAATTCTCCACCATGTTGGCTTAGGAACCAACTTCCTCAATAAGACTCCTAAAACGTAAGACGTAAAATCAAGAATCAATAAATGGGATGGTATCACACTAAAAAGCTTTTTCACAGGAAAGGAAACAATCAACAATGTGAAGAGAGAGCCTACAGAATAAGAAAAAATCTTTACCACCTTTACCTCAGATAGAGCATTACTCTCCAGGATATACAAAGAACTCAAAAAACTTAATACCAAAACAAAACAAAACAACAACAACAAAACAACAATCAATAAACAGGCAAAGAAACTGAACAGGCACTTCACAGAAGAAATACAAATGGTCCAAAAAATATGAAAAAATGTTCAACATCTCTAGCAATAGGAGAAATGCAGATTAAAACAACAGTGAAATTCCATCTCACTCTAGTCAGAATGGCAATTATCAAGAATACAAGTAACAATAAATGCTGGCAAGGATGTTGGGGGAAAAGGCACACTCATACATTGCTGGTGGGACTGCAAATTGGTGCAACTACTATGGAAGGCAGCAAATTCCTTAGAAAATTTGGAATGGAACCACCATTTGACCCAGCTATCCCACTCCTTGGTCTATACCCAAAGGACTTAAAATCAGCATACTACAATGATACAGCCACATCAATGTTTGCAGCAGCTCAATTTACAAAAGCCAAGCTAGGGAACCAACCTAGATGCCCTAAAACAGATGACTGGATAAAGAAGATGTGGTATATATCCACAATGGAATATTACTCAGCCATAGAGAAGAATGAAATTATGGCATTTGCTGGTAAATGGATGAAACTGGAGAATATCATGCTAAGAGTGAAATAAGCCAGTCCCCCAAATCCAAAGGCCGAATATTCTCTCTGTGGATGCTAATCTATAACAAGGGAAGGTCAGGAAGGGAAGAATAGAGTTCATTGGATTATACAAAGGGGAATGAAGGAGAGGGAGGGGGAATGAGAATAGGAAAGACAGTAGAATGAATTGGACATAATTTCCCATCTTTATATATGACTATTTAACCAGTGTAACTCCACAACATATACAACCATAAGAATGGGATCCTAATTAGAATAAATCATACTCTATGTATGTATAATATGTCAAAATACATTCTACTGCTATGTATATTTAAAAAGAACAAATTTTTAAAAAGGAAAAAGAAAAAGATCTGGTATTTTTACAACCACTTGTCCATAGCACAGAAGCTCAGCTGCTGTTAATAGTACAGTGACTCCTACACGTGCATGGAGGCACTCACAGGGCCGGGCAGAGGGAAAGGAGCCTGATGGTCGGTTTCCTTAGTCTACACATTCCAAGTGGGCTAGCAAAGCCAGCCAGCCTCTGATGGGGTGATGTGAATGCATGGTCCTGAGTGTATGTCGCACTAGTCATTCTGGGAGACGGGGCACGTGTGGGTGTGGTTGGGATGTGACACCATTGGGCCCCTCATATGGCCTCTGTCTTGTCACAGTGACTTGTGTGCTCATCTGCAAACTCAGGCACTGTGGCATTTTCTCAAGGCTACATCCCTATCACCTGGTACAGGTGGTAAGCCCCAGTACTAATAGAAGGTGAGTACTCAGAAGACTGTATGAAAACAGGTCATTTACCTGACTGGATGGTGATGGCACCCTTCTCTCTCTTCTCTCTGACTCTTTTGTATCTCCTGGCTCCAAGCCACCCCTTGGTATACGCCTGTAGGATAACCACTCTGCCTATGACTTCTTGCAGTAGCAGATTTAATTGCTCGACATGGTAGTATTTGAGAAAAACCTGAAAGGATATATTAATTTTAGCATTATATATGGGCTTTCCAACAGAAATCCACTGTACTCCAATATATTCTTAAGGTAACTACTAAAGCTATTATTTAATTAACGTTTACAGTGATTTGACACATTCTCACGTCACTGACTTCTTGGGGGCAAATACAAGTCTCCTTCTCAAGCTGAGCCAAGCCTTGGTTCTTGATATAAACAGATGATGATGTCATGGGGTGTCATGGGTCCCAGGTACTCACCAGCCTGCCCTGTGTCAGTCAGAGGTTCCACTTTCTCAGCCTGAGCTCTCTCTCCTTGTTCCCCACAGCCTCTAATGGAGGTACCACCAACAGGACCGACCATTGGCCCATGGAGAAGTCAGAGGGAGAGGGACCTGTATGGCCCACACTGATCTAATTTCTGCTGAGGAGCACGGTGCTGCTATGAGCTCTTGGGCTAAAGCTGGCTTTGTGGGGCAATTCAGGATGGGCTATAAAATCCTGGGATCCTGCAAGGGCGTGATGTTCTCCCAAATGAAAACCTACACACGATGAAACTAATAAACAGGGTAGGCAATAAATAGCACAACATGAGTCTAATGAAAAAATGAACAGAACTCCAAAGGAAACTCATCACTGCCATTAATATGATTTGTATATTTGCATGTGTGCTAGAATACAAAGTCTTGAAAAGGGGACATTTGAAAGGGAGCTCAAACATGTCAGTCTAGAAATGCTAAGTGACTCTCAAATTACATGCAGAACAGAGGAGGCAACTTTCCTCCTCTGGCCTCTGGGGTGCCTGGGCTCCCGACTCAAGAGCAGCAAAGACTCTTTTTAGGTTGGGCTTTTGCCTGCTAAGCTACACCCCTTACACAGCTATTCTTGCCAGAGATACCAGGAACAAGTGATACAGGCACACTGGAAAGCAGCACACAGGGATGATTTTAACAATAAAGAAAGAACTACCTTTGTTTTCCCCAGTACCCAGTGATCCAATTTGGACTTTTCCAAGATAGCAGCACAGCTCTCTTTACTAGCAGGAGGCGTTTGATGTGCTCTGAATGCCAAGTAATAATACCTACCGAATAAAAGAGGAAAATGAAGCATTTTTAGTCATTATTTGATTTAGTAGAGTTGCTCTGGACTCACTGGCCAGCAGTGTTTTTTTAATAGTAACTATGTCTTGAGCACAAGAATAGCAAAGTCAATAGTGAAAGATGCACTATTTATATTTGCTAACTTGGCTCTTTCACATTTTCTGTGGTGTAGATTTTCATTTTAATTTTGCTTTGTTAATTCACATTCAATGAATACTTGGTGTGTTTTGCATGCAAAAATCAAGATACTTAATCATTTAAGAAAGCTGACATTTGGATCTCCTATTGAAATTCAGAATTTTAAACGTTGGCATTCCTATTATAAAAACAATTAAAATCCCATTGTACATATTCTGATTCTGCTTTGAAAAGTCCCCTCTAAAGTGATCTGTGGCGAGCAAATGATCATAGCCTGACACAACCAATTCTGGGCAGAGCTGCATGTCTTAATCGAGGACTAAAGTAGGCATGTTTTCTTGATGTGATCACCAAAACCACATTTGTTTTCTTAAATGACATCATTTTAGTGAACTTCTAAACTTTCAGATGAAAGGGTTTCTGGGTAGATTCAAAGAACACCACGGTAGAGGAGGAAAAAGATCTTTTCCTAGCCCATCCTAAGTTCACAGCTGAGGTCCTTATAACAGAAGACAGATTAACAAGAGAAAAAATTCAAATTTTATTTAAAGTAAGTTTTATGTGACAAAGAAGCTTTCCTTCATAAGGACACAAAGACCCTCAGAAACAGTTATTCTGGTATATTTTTATGCAGGTTTGATGAAGAAGTGGATATTGTGATTGGACCAAAGGGTATGGACAAATGGTAGTGAACTGGGGAGGCAGTGAATGGGGTGCATTTGCCAAGGCCTATGGATTTCTTCAGATTCTTCTCTATGTTCCAGTGTTCTTAGAGATGAGAGCCTTCCTTTTCTCTGGGCATAGGGAAGATCTCTCTCACATAAGAGTCTATGACTTGTTTCAGGGAAAGTTAGAAAATCCCCCCTAAGTTTTGTGACCTGCCTCAGGACACAAGGTCAGAGTGACCTTCCTGCCTCTGAAGTTTTCTCAGATGACAAGGTACCATGCTTTGAGGTGGCATATCCTGAATGCCATTACTATCAAAAGACTTTTTCTCCTCTCTCCTCCCTCTTCCTCTTTCATCTCCTCCTCCTCTTCTTCTTTTTGTTTTGGGGGTGGAGGGGTGGTGATTAAGGGGCATGGTGGTGCTGAGGATTGAACCCAGGCCCTTGCACATGCTAAGCACATACTCTACCACGGAGCTACCTCCCCTAGCCCCTCCTTTCTTCTTCAGTCTCCCTGTTTTTAAAAATAAATAACCTGCTATATATACACTATCCCTTTAGAAAATCTTACCTTAGTTTTTCTTCAGAAAACTTTCAAGGATCTTTTTTCTGCTCTTTGCTGCCATCTATTATTAAATTCAACCTCCTGAAAGCTTAAACTTTATTCCTTTGTCAAAGGATTTTTTTTCCTTCTTCATCTGACAAGGTTAATCTGCTAGTTTGAAATCACTTTTAAATATATAACTGTTTTTATTTTCGTAAAAAATAACATCAACATAGGAAACATGTCCCTTCTTCTGGTCAAAAGGACTCATATCTTTTGGTTTATGGAAAAATCAATATACCTGACCAGTACTTGAGTCAATTTTATTTTTGTGCTACAAATTGTTTTATAAGTTAGGCTACAGGGCTGGATTTGCTGGATACTTCTGCGTTCAGAGATCCTGGGACCGTTTCCACAGCTCTGAGTTTGGGTTCCCACCCTTTGAGTCGGAGAAGTGTCCTCAGACCCAGGATAGTGGCTGGGGCGGATAATGCTGGTGGATCCTTTGGCCCAGGATCTGCTAACAGCTGATGTCCTCCAGAGCTCAGTGGGAGGAGCCCAGCCTGGGCCTATGTGGGCAGCTCACGACAATGGCACAGATTCCTCAGCCTGACTCTCTCCAGGACTGTAGTTTCATTATGGTTTCTCTGGCTTATCTTTGGTCACAGCAAAAAGACTGTCCTGGTGTTCATGAGGCTGATGGGATGGATGGAAGGTTTGTATGAGGTCGTGGTAAAGCTGATGTACAGAGCGCTTAAGCTGTAACAGGCAGTGGTAAAACCAGGATTTCCTGCACTTTCCTCCCTGGCCACTTGTCACAAGGGCTCCCTCAGCTTCTAGCAGCCCAGTTTTGGGCACTGTGGGTACTCAGCGCCATTGGTGATGAGGTATTTAAAGAGAACCTAATGAGCTGGGCATGGTGGCACATGCCTATAATCCCAGTGACAGGAAGATTACTAGTTCAAAGCCAGCCTCAGTAATGGCAGGGCCCTAAGCAACTCAGTGAGACCCTATCTCTAAATAAATACAAAAATAGGGCTGGGGATGTGGCTCAGTGATCGAGTGTCCCTGAGTTCAATGCTTGGTACAAGATAAAAAATAAAATAAAGAGAAACTAACTAGCACTGTGAAACATGCAAGAGGAATGCAAGTTATGTTCCTGTTCTCCAACCAAGGATTTATACTTAGTTTTCAGGCATCTGTGAATGTTACTTAGCAACTGCTAATTTTTAAACAGGGAGAATGTATCGTGAAGTAACATAAATATTAGGACTTAACTTTGGGATTTTTCAGTTTTTGAAACCAAATCTATTAATTTATTATGCTGATAATATTTACATCTGACTTAGTTTAGAAAGAGATGAGTAACGACACTACAAAGAGGTGAAGTTTCAAAAACCAATGTAGATACAACTGATTTACGTATAGTAATCAAGTTAGAGAAGCATAATGTGTTTCTTCCATGGAGTGAGTTCAGATTCCAGCATGGTGAAGCAGTACTTTGAGCTCCTGAGGGCTTCAATGTCAAGGCTACACAAAAGGAACCAATCTATGAGGCCTGGCAGGAAGAGGGTCTTTTGGGGGAGGTCCATCCCACCTTCTTTCTTTTGATCAAGTGAACAAGCAGGAGGGTAGGCAGTAGCGAAAGCACTAAGTGTACATGTCTATTTTGAGGGTCTTGACACATGACAGCATTGATAAAAACTAGTTCTTCCCTAAGATGCCTCTTGTAGGTAGAATCGACCTCACAGGCTGGAGTCTGAGCACTGAGTTAAGAGTCAGACAACTTCTATGAGCAAATCACTCACTTGTGTTCCTGAATCAAATTAGTGGTTCTTAATTCTTTTTTTTTTAAGGTGGTGCATGAGGGGCTTAAGACTATGAATATCTGGGACAAGATACAGATATCTATCTTAGAAAATGCTCTTAACATAACACATCATATATAATGTCAAGAGCTTCACATCCCTTTTGATGGCCCTCTAAGGACCTAAGAGTTCTTCCTGCTCCAGAACCCTATGGAAGGTGATAAATTTCATAACATCTCATTTTATTAAAACATATAAGCCATCAAAAGAGTAATTATCAGCTGAAAAAATATTGCTATTCAAAATGTTGTTTAGTTTTCAAAAATGTTTTGTTATATGAAATGCAAGCTGTTTGAGGATATGTTTTAAAATATAATAGGCAAAGCAACATGTGAAATATGAGTAATGTATCCTTCTATGTTAAAATTATGGAAACAAACTGGAAGGTTTGGTAAGGTTCAAGGATATGTTAGTTTTCTATTATTACATAACAAATTACCTCAAACTTAATGCTTCAAAAAAACATATGTGTTGTTTTAAAAACTGATCTCACAATTTCTGAGAGTCAACAACTCAGCAGTAGCTTATCGGGGAATTTTGGCTCAGGGTCTCTGATGAGATTTTAGTCAAGATGTTGCATAGGGCTGCAGTCATCTAAAGGCTTGATTGGCACTTGAGCATTCATTTCCAGGATGACTCACTTCTGTGCTTGTTGTTAGGAGAACTCAGTTCCTCAGTGGCTGTTGTAGGAGGCCTCAGTTCCTGGCCACATAGGCCTCTCCAGAAGGCTGCCTGAGTACCTTCACCGCATAGAATATGGCTTTCCTCATATCAAGGGATCCATGGGAGAGACAGGGGACCCAGAGAGGAATTTGGAATGCCTTTTATAACCCAGGCTTATAACCTGGTTATAAGAACCCGGTTTTCCATATGCTTCTATTCACCACAAGTGAGTCACTAAGTGCAACTTATACTCAATGAGAATTTAAATTCTACCATTTAAAGGGAGGAGAATCAAATAATTTGTGGACATATTTTTTAAACTACCACAAAGGATCTCAAGAATGTCAAGTCTTCTTTCTATTGATGATAAAAATCACCTTCAGTTAAGTGAAGTAACTTATCCAAAGTGACAGAAAATAAATGACAAAGGCTAAATTATTATTGAAGTTGCCTGACTTCTAAGGTATTAAGTTTATAAAAGAACTGACATGAATCTGACTACTGAAGTTTGATTCTTGATGCAAAGGAAAGATACAAACAAATAAACAAAAAGGTAAAATTAAATGTTGCTTCTCACCAGAAAAGACTGATAAATTTGTCCACATGAAAAAAAAAATGAAAAATTTGGAAAGAAGAGGTATTTTTTAAAGTTTCATTGTTTATCTATTACATTTTATTATGCAGTCCATAAAGAGGCCCCAACAAAATGTAATTGTTTGGAATGTAGACATCTCTTACCAAATCAATGGTGGTAAATTTCTTGGCCAAACTTCAAAGCCTATTTAATCAATTTGAATATTTCCTTTGAGGAGAAAGAAACTTTTATTTCTCATTTTCCCTTCTTATGTTAGTTAGTACAAATGGAGAAAGTCCTTGGTACGACAGAGAAAAGAAAAAGAGACTGTGTTAAATGCACTGAAGTTGTCCTCTGAGACCTGGTCTGTCTCAGGCAAGAGGAAGACTTCTTGGTCTTCATCATGGTTCCACTCATAAGAATGTGAGGAACATAAAAACCTTCCAGAATGGAGACAGAACAAAGAATATCAGATTCCCAAGAACTTCTAAGCTTTCCCCTAGAGGGAACAGAACTTTAAAGATTGGGT